ATCTGTTGGGTATTTGGGTTGTATCTACCTTTTGACTACTGTGAATAATGCTGCAGTGAACACTGGTATACAAATATATCCTCAAGCCCCTGCTTTCAATTGTTTTGTGTATATACCCAGAAATGCAATTGCTGAATCAAATGACAATTATGTATTTAACTGGAAAATCACTATAATGTTTTCTACAGCAGCTGCACCACTGTGTATTTCCATCAGTAATAAGAGTTCCAATTTCTCCACATCCTTGCCAACACTTGTGTGTTTTTTAATTTTAATAACAGTTATTCCAATGGGTACAAAGTGGTATCTCATTGTGGTTTTGATTTGCATTTCCTTACTGTTTAGTGATGTTAAGCATTTTTCATGTGCTCATTGGCTATCTGCATGTCTTCTCTGGAGATCTATCCAAATCCTTTGCCATTTTTTAAATCAGGTTTTTATGTTGTTGCATTTTGGGAGTTTTGCGTGTATTCTTGATGTTTAATCCTTATTAGGTATGTGAACTGCATATATTTTCTCCCACTCCATAGGTAATCTTTTCACTCTGTTGATAGTGTCCTTTGATGCACAAAATTTTAGAATTTTAATGAAGTCCAATTTGCCTAGTTTTTCTTTTGTCATCTGTGAATTTGGTATCATATCCAATAAACCATTGCCACATCCTAAGAGTTTTATGGTTTTAGCTCTCACATTTAGGTCTTTGGTCCACTTTAATTTTTGCACATGGTGAGGTTGCAACTTCATTCTTTAGCCATATGGTTATCCAGCTTTCCCATCACTATTTGTTGAAAAAACTATCCTTCGAATAGTATTGGCACCCTTGTCAAAAATCATTTAGCTACAGACGAGAGGGTTTATTTCAAGGCTCTCCAGTGTATCCCATTGATCTGTCTGCCTTTATGCCAGAATCACATTGTTTTGATTACTGTAGCATTATAGTAAGTTTTAAAATATGGAGGTCTAAGTCCTCCAATTTTTTGTTCTTTCTCCAGACTGATTTGGCTATTTGTGATCCCTTCAGATTCCATACGAAATTCAGGATGGGTTTTTCTATTTCTGGAAGAAAAAAAAAAAATTCCTAGGATTCTGATAGAGATTGTAGTGAATCACTTTGAGTAGTACTGACATATTAACAATATTAGATTTTCCAATCCATGAACATGAGATGTGTTTCCATTTATTTTTATCTTTAAGCAAGGTTTTGTAGTTCTCATTGTACAAGCCATTCACCACCTTGGGTAAGCTAATTTCTGTGCATATTATTTTGGGGGCTATGGTAAATGGGACTGTTCTTGTAATTTCCTTCTCAGATTGTTCGTTGTTAGTGTATAGGAACGCAACTGATTTTTGTGGGTTGAATTTGTATCCTGCTACCTTACTGAATTAACAGTTTTATTTATTTTTTTGGTGTGGAATCTTTAGGGTTGTCTAAAGATCATATCATTTGTGAACATACAGGATTTTACTTCTTACTTTCCAACTTGGATGTCTTTTCTCTTTCTAGCTCAGGCTAGAACTTCTAGTACTGTGTTGAATAGGAATGGTGAAAGTGAGCATTGTTGTCTTGATCTTAGAGGAAAAGCTTTCAGTCTTTCCCCACTAAGTATGGTGTCTACTGTGGGCTTTTAATATCTGGCTTTTATTATGTTGAGGTAGTTTCCTTTTATCCCTCATTTGTTGAGTGTTTTTAATCACAAGAGGCTCCTGGATTTTGTCAAATGCTTTGTCTGGATCAATGGAGATAATCATCTGGTTGTTCTCCCTTCATTCTGTTAATATGGTATATTATATTGATTTTTGTATGTTGAACCATCCTTGCATTCCAGGAATTCATTCCATTTGGTTATGCTGTACAATCCTTTTAATATGCTGCTACATTCAGTTTCCTAGTATTGAGAATTGTTGAATCAGTGAAAATAAGGAATCTTTTCTTCTGTAATCTTTATCTTGTGGTATATTTGTGTCTGTAATCTTTTCTTGTGGTATATTTGTCTGGCTTCAGCATCAGAATGAATTAGGAAGCATCCTTCCTCTTCAATTTTTGGAAAAAGTTTGGGAGGGTTTGGGGTTATTTCTTATTTGGTAGAATTCACAAATGAGAACCATCAGGTCCAACGCTTTTTTTTCCAGGAGAATTGATTACTAATTCAATCACCTTACTGGTTCTAGTTCTATTTGGATTTTAAAATTTTTTTCATAGTTCAGCAATGGTAGGTTTTGCATTTCTAGGATTTTGACCATTTCATCTAGGTTGTCCAAGGTATTATTTTATAACCCTTTTCATTTTTCTAGAATCTAGAGTGCTGTCCCCATTTTCATTTATTTTAGCAATTGAGTCTTCCTTTTTTATTATCTAGGTATCGGCTTCTCAACTTTATGGTCTTTTAAAGAACTTGTAGTTTCACTGATTTTTCTCTAGTGTTTCTAATCTTTATTCAATTTATCTGTTCTAATCTTTATTATTTCCTTCCATCTGCTAGCCTTGGATTTAGTGTGTCTTTCCCCCCTCCTTAAGTTACAAAATCAGGCTGTTGACATGAGATGTTTTTTGTTTTTTAATGTAAGCATTTATGTCTGTAAATTTCCCCTTTAGCAGTGCTTTCACTGCATCCTATAAATTTTGGTATGCTACATTTTTCTCTTTTTAATTTCTCTTGTGATTTCTTCTTTGACCCATTGGTTGAGTGTGTTGTTTAATTTCCACAAGTTTGTGAATTTTCCAATTTTCCTTTTGTTATTGATTTCTAACTACATCCTGTTGTGGTTCAAAAATGCTTTGTATCTTCTTCACTTCTTTGCGTGTGATATATATCTTTTAAAACTATGCAGGCTTGATTTGTTGTTTCTGCTTTCAATGATCCCATCTCAAGTTTGCTGATTCTTTCTTCTAAAGAATAGATTCTTTGCTATTCTTTGCTGCTGAACCCCTCTAGTGAAAATTTCATTATACTTTTCTCCTCCAGAATTTTTTTATAATGCCTATCTCTGTTGATATTCTGATTTTGTTCATTTATCATTTTCCTGATTTCCTTTAATTCTTTGTTCATGCTTTCCTTTAGTTCTTTGGGCATATTTGAGTTGTTTTAAAGTATATGTCTAGTTTAATGTCCTTCACTAGGACAATGTCTGTCAATTAATTTTGATCTTTTGAATGGGCATTATTTTCCTGTTCCTTTGTAAGGCTTGTGATTTTTTTCTTGGGAATTGGGTATTCACTATTATAATATGGTAACTCTAGGTAAGAGATTCTTTCCTTTTCCCATGGTTTTCTAGTTCTTTTTTTTTTTTTTTAAAAAAAAGCTGTCATCCATTCGTTTTGAGAGTTTTCCAAATTATTTTTATAAAAGACTATCCCTTTTGTGTGTGATCACTGAAGTCTCTCTTCTTTTTATGTCATATTCAGCTATTTTGACATAAATTCCCCCGAATGCCAGGTGCTATCCTAGATTTTACAAATTGGCTTTGTGCCAGGTAATCCTCCAATACTTACTTTGACCTGCTTTTGAGCTTAGGGACCAGAGCAAGGTGAAAGCTTAGGTCTTAGAACTTTCTGGGCAAGTGTTTTCCCTGGGCATATGCATGTCGCATTTTAAATCCCCCCTGTATATATTTAACTGTTCTTAATTTCCTAATTTCCCAAAGCCTTACCCCAGATTCTCCTCTGGGCCTTAGTTGTTCTATTTTATGTTTCCACCTATAACCTCCTGCCCCATGTACCTGTGGTTCTTTGCAGCTTTTATAAGCAGTGCCCACCCTTCCAGTTAGGCAAAAAAAAAGATGAGACCTTGTGTCAGTCCTTCAGGTATCCCCAGACAGGTTAGAAAAAAATGTACACAGTAATATGCCAAAAAAGTCTATTATGTTTTCTCCAGTTCAAGGGAGGGAATTGGGCTGCTGCTGCTTCAAGACTGTCACAATGCAGGGAGGGGTTGGGGCAAGAGTCACTAAAAACTCAGTATTTTCCTACCATTCTGAAGATGACTGGGAATTCTTTTGGTTGCTGTAAACCTTTGACTGTTTTCTAAAGTTCTAATAAAGTTCGTTCAGACGTTGCTACCCTTTTTTTTTTTTTTAATGTTTTGATGGGGAAACAAAAGCTTGCAGCTTCCTAGTCTGCCCATTTTGCTGATGTCGCTGGGGTCAATTATGTTTTATTCCTCCCTATAATTTTAGTATTACAAGACCTTGAATAGAGTATGTTTATTAAGTATAGTGATTAAATTTTGGTTAGTGAGAATTAGAAAAATGTCAATGGTCTCAAAATTCTCAATCTGATTATTTGCATTTAAAAGCAACATTAATGAATATATTTTCTTTCAATTTGTTCTAAATTAATCAATCTTGCCTGTTTTTGCTGGCTGTGATAACAGTCACTATAGAGCAAAAACTTTTATAAATCTGTTTTAAGAAATGAAAGCTTACAGCTGGGCACAGTGGCTCATGCCTGTAATCCCAGCACTTTGGGAGGCCGAGGTGGGCAGATCACCTGAGGTTGGAGTTTGAGGCCAGCCTGACCAACATGGAGAAACCCCATCTCTACTAAAAATACAAAATTAGCCGGGCATGGTGGCACATGCCTGTAATCCCAGCTACTCAGGAGGCTGAGGCAGGAGAATCACTTGAACCCAGGAGGTAGAGGTTGCAGTGAGTCGAGATCGTGCCATTGCACTCCAGCCTGGGCAACAAGAGTGAAACTCTGTCTCAAAAAAAAAAAAAAAAAAAAGTAAGTTTCCATGCCAAAATATTAAGTGATACTTATTGGCTTCTGCCAGTTTCCTATTTTGTAGTAGCATATGTTCTTGTAACCTGTCTTCAGTTGTGGCATAGGGTAGATATATGTATATAATATATAAATATATAAAACAAAAATAATAGGTCTTGCAAATATTTTATTATTCTCCCCTAAAAAGTTTCTGGTACCACATTCTTTATATCGCATAAGTGTTCGTTTTGTTCATTTAACAAGGATATTATTACTAATGCTTATTTTATTATTTTAGGATTTTCATTAAGCCAATTCATACCCAGTTTCTACAAATGAAAATCAAAGTCAATCATCTAAAATTTCATGATTTCTTCCCATCAAGAGGATCTGGAGTCTTCTGTTCCCATTAAAACTGAATTTATGGCAGTGCAAGCCCGGGCCAGACTGGGTAAAAAATGATGGAAGCACATTTATATTCTTAAAAATTTCAGCAGATTGCATAGAAAGTTCTCAGATTTGTAAAAGTTTATTTCTATTGTAATTCTTTGCATGTTCATTTTGTTAAATTTGCAATATAAACCAGTTGCACATCTTTTGCTATCTGGCCTCCTAGGTTGAGGGTTAGGGTTTGCTTTAAGCAAAACTGAGATAACTATAATGTGAACTGACCTACTGGATTGCCCACTTTTATCAATCTGCAAGGGTGGATCTATTTCTAGGTCTTAATTTCAAGGTTTACTTTCCCTTTTCCTTAGATTTTACTTGGATCAAAGGGCATGGAAATATATTTCTTGCTTAAGTCTTATACAAAGGAAACTGTGGCCCCAGAAATTGTTTTGCTTTGAAAGTATGTAGATGAAATAAGTATTTTTAAATGTCTTGATTAAATAAAGCATTCTATGATCTGATCGTCAGCTCAGTATGTAGGCTAAGGGTATACCTTTACTTCTCTTTTTTATGCTCAAATTTTTTTCATGTGATTGTTATTTTCAGTTTCACAGAGGACTACAATGATTGCCATCTCTAGGAATTTAGTTTGTTTTTAGCTAATACTCTAATGCTTCTAAGACAAGCCTTTCAAAATTGTAATAAATGAGTTACACAGATTTAACTTTGGCTAAATTACCATTTCCCTTCCTCACAGAACTTCAAGGCCTCTGAGAGGCAGGGAGGATGACTTTTATTCTTATCAGTACTACTACTGTTTCTATTAGGTCAACTTTTTCCCTTTTTACTTTGCACTAAGGTTGCAACCATGTGACTAAATGATTTTAGTGTTTGTAACAAGCTCCAAAGGCTCAGCTATAAAAAGGAACCCTTTAACAACATCAAATATTGTATGAAATTGTCCTGTATCAGACTCTCCTTTGAGAAGTGGCAAAACATTTTATGAGTATTAATTTGTTTAAAATAACCCATTCAATTCTAAGGCTCATTTTGTTCATATTTTCGGTTTTAAAAATCCCTTTTCCTCTACTATTCAACCAATTCTGGTTAATATCAGGGACAATAAAGTTTAAAAAATATTAGACTTATGTGCTATATGAGCACATCCAAAGACTAAAATTTTGAGGTATTTTGATAATAGCTAAATAGCATGAGCTAAATATAAATATTCACAGATGAAAAGTTTTGACAAATTTTTCTTTCCTCAGGAACTAGGATTTAGAATAACCATAAATTAAAGGAATCTTCTAAGTATTTTTATCATATATATATAAAAATAGCAAGAGAAATATTTTCAGTTTTTAAAAAAAGGGATAAAAGTGATAAAAAAGGAAAAGGAGGAATAATGCTAATACATTTGACTTTACTTACCTTGCAAGTGTCCTACTGTCCTGTTAGAACAAACCACTGACTGTTACAAAAGTAACATTAGTTACATCATATTGTATTAGGTGGAATATGCTAATTTCTCTCTTGTAAAACAGTCTGGAGGTGGATAGTCCACGCCACTTAATGGCGTTTCTTCAACGAGGTTGTACAGCAACCAGGATCCTTCTGTTACTTTTCTTCCACAATGGTGTGTTGCCTTCTCTTCAGGGTCCAAGATGGCTCACTACCAGATCCACATTCCAAGCAACAAGATGGAGAAAGGGGCAAATAAATGGTCATGCCATTTTAATGACACAAATCATTGCCCCTCACATTCCATTGTCCAGAACACAGTCATACCTGCACAGGAGACTGGGAAATGTAGTCTTTATTCTAGGAGGCATACCCAATTGAAAAATCAAAGGTTCTATCATTATACAAAAAGGAAAGAATGGATATTGAGGGAAAACTGGTGCTGTCTGCACATCTCTTATTTAGATATTTGTATAGAAATTCAAACTTGAAAATCATTCTACTGGGAATATGACAGGAATGACTAGCTGACAAATACCAACTATTCTGGGTTTTTGTTTATGAAGGATTAGTTTACTTCCTTTGTTCATCCAAAAGCAATGAAATGCAAAACATTACCTGAATGAGTTCCAAGCTATGTTTTATTGGTATAAAACCAAAATAAGATGATGTAATATTCTGGTCTACCAGTTAGCTATATAGACCTAGGTGAAAAAAAAAGATTTTTAAGGAAAAAAGAAAAATGTTTTACTTATGATAAAACACTGATTAGTCTTGGCAATTTATCTGACCAAAACAAAAATAGTTCTTTAATTTTTATCAAATAAGTAAAAAGTCAGTAATAATATTGTTACTTCTGAAAAAATTCATAAAACTGAAAGGCAGAGAAAAATTTTTCAAACCATCAGTATATTTTTCTCCTTTATTAAAAGGGAGAAAGGCCGGGCGCGGTGGCTCAAGCCTGTAATCCCAGCACTTTGGGAGGCCGAGACGGGCGGATCACGAGGTCAAGAGATCGAGACTATCCTGGCTAACATGGTGAAACCCCATCTCTACTAAAAATACAAAAAACTAGCCGGGCGAGGTGGCGGGTGCCTGTAGTCCCAACTACTCCGGAGGCTGAGGCAGGAGAATGGTGTAAATCTGGGAGGCGGAGCTTGCAGTGAGCTCAGATCTGGCCACTGCACTCCAGCCCGGGCGACAGAGCAAGACTCCGTCTCAAAAAAAAAAAAAAAAAAAAAAGGGAGAAAAAAGGTCTTCATGATTCTGCTAAAAGACATCAGCTAACAACGCAAGGGGTAGTCAGGGAATGTCTTAAATCTCTGTCCTACTGATGAATCCCCTTTTGCTCTTCCTATGCAGGAAGACTATTTAAGGTCACGTCACACAGCAGCTACACGATCTGGTGCAACACAACTATAATCAGTTTGCTTGTGCCTGATGCAAAAGCTCTCAACTCCTAATCTGTGTTATGTCCAAAGTTGTCCTTCATCTAATATATTAAAAACTACTCTCGTCATCTTAGAGCATCAATCAAAGCTACAAAAAAGATATATCTAAAGTTATTTTTGTTTGAAATACACATAGCCCAAGTTTCCATTTTCTGAAAAAGGCAGAACCAGAAAGTTATATATTATGAAAGCCACTTTAATTATTTAGATGACCCCAGATGTATGAGTGCCATTATTGTTGTATAGCTATGAAACAGATCATCATCTTTTACCTCATTACATTTCCTCAATATAAAGTTCCCAGTGACTATCCGATCACACCCAATTTCTCCATTTCCAAAGAAGCCGAATAGGGGAACACTAGGAAAAAACTTTCTGAACGCATCAGCCTCAACATTCCCCTTGGCTCTGTAATACTGAAAGCCCCTGCCAACGCATGCAAACATGAAGCCAATGGTGTTCTGCTCTGGAATGTTGGCCGCTTTGAGGCGCTGCATTGCAGCCTCGGCAGTCTTCTCATCACTGACGTCCTCGTTGAGGAGCACAGTGGCACTCTGGATTCGGTGTCCACTAAATGACAGTCCAACCACACCTGCGGCATCAATATCCAGAGGGTTCCTGGAAAATTTAGAAAAGTGGCAATATCTCATGAAACATTAAAATTTTTAAGTACAGAAGCAAAATCCTCCTGATTCACTGATGGGAGGCTGCTGCCTTTAGCAGCCTATGGTTAATCTGAGGCTCACCCTCACAGACGAGTAAAATACGGTCAAAAATCAAACTATTAAAATAGATCAAGAGAAGCCACCATTTTTTTCAGTCACAAATACAAAGGGGCAATGCACATCCATAACAATTTCTGAAACCCATATTCGGTTATTAGAAGGGACAGTTTCCTTACCTTTCTGACTTCCTTAAAAGGAATGTTATAATTTTATTAATATACACAAAGATATCCATTAAACGAAGCCTTCTGCTATTATTTACATTGTTAACATCTTTCCCCCCACTTCAGCTGTCAAATTCTGAAAGACATATATTAAAAATATAATAATGGAGGGTGATTTTATTTTTTTGGAGATAGGGTTCTCTGTTAGCTAGGCTGAAGTGCGGTGGCACAGTCATAGCTCACTGCAGCCTCAAACTCCTGGGATAAAGCAATCCTCCTGCCTGAGTCTCTCAAGTAGCTGGGGCTACAGACACATGCCACCACACCTGGCCAATCTGTAAACATTTTGTGGAGATAGGGTCTCACTATGTTGCGCACGCTGGTCTCAAACTCCTGAACTCAAGCAATCCTCCTGCCTCAGCCTCCCAAAGTTCTGGGATTACAGGCATGAGCCACTGTACCCAGTCTTAGAGGATAATTTTAAAAACAATACTATTAACTCTAGAAGGTTTAGCTTTATGTCTAGTCCACTAGAAAATGTTATTTTTTTGTCTTGTTTATTGCTTTGAGTCTAGAATTCAGCTTAATTTGATGGTAAAAACTCATGTTTTGTTTTTGTATTTGCCTGGTTTTTTTTAAAAAATGAAATATCCTTACAAAAGAAAATACAACATTGATAAAAGTTATAAAGCAAATAATATAGTGAACATCCACTAGGGGAGAAACAAGTATGTTACATTTCTATCATGCTTCCAACATCTGAATCTATAAAATGGGCAAGATTCACTGGATTACTGAGAAACTAAGACGCAAAAAGCTTAAGTGACTAAGGTAATAAGGCTAGCTAGTAGTAAAACGAGTTTGTGAGGGGCAAAATCTATCTTCTGAAGTACTCTGCTGCTTTTAAAACTTTATCACATTTCCTCTTTGGTACAGAATTGTTAATACACATTGTCAATCTTGCCTCAAAGAATTATTCACCTTCCTTTTGGGCACTGGATCAGTTGGGTTATCTGGACTTTATTAAAATGGAGCACTCATTTACTCAACGGTTTCTCTTAACCACTGACAGAGTATGAAGACCACATTAAAATTAATGGGTCATATGAAAAGTAATGATTGGGGTGGAGGGTGTTTCTCATATTAGGTATAAAAAGTAGATGATGTACAAATTGCTGTACTAACAAGCTAGCGCCTCAGATGTTTTAAGTCCGAGTGAGATACCTGCATTTCAAAGGTAAACTGTATGTTGAATCACCATTGCCCTATCGGTATACAATTTAAAAGTTAATAGCAAAGATACAGGAAAAATTAGGCAAGAGGGGAAATAACTTAGATAGTCACCAAGAATTCGGTGTATATATGCACAAAATCCAGTGTTTGATATTCTACTGCCTAGGATTCAACGTACTTGGCTTTCCTCTCTTCCTCCTTCCTGGCAGTCCAGGGACCTCAATTTTAGCTATTTTCCCAGATCTAGCTCACAGAGACTACCAGAAGAGAGAGTATAACTAGGATAACTTACATAATTCTTACAGATACTGATCTCCAAGTCTGTCCCCAAGTCACCACTCTAGGATGCAAATATTAAACAGAGTGGGAAACAAATACTAGTGTTTACAAGCATTGAGGGTGGGGTAGGGTCTCATTTTCCTGCTGGAACAAATGACATTTATGTCCACCTAATGGTTTCAAACTCAAAATGATATGTACTTTCATTCAAGATGGAAAGGAAGTAATGGCTCCCAAGACAGAAGAGCAAATATTTTTATCTTTGAAAGCAAAAGCCTTAGTAACAAAAATCAAAGATCCATAATTTTTGAGCTTGAAAAAGCCTTTCAAAAGATCTAATACAGCATTTCCAAAAACCAGTAGGACTTGCAAGATGCTCTGTGGAAAAAAAGGTTTTGTGACTTTTTTTGTGACAGATTTGGGAACTGTCACAGGTAATACTATTCCCCTTCCAGATTTTCAATGAAGCTCTGAGAAGTTTTGTATAAAGGTACACTTGAACCATGTGTTTCTTTTAAAAGAGGAAACTAGAGAGGAGGTGACACATTGAGGTCACAGAGAATACCACATTTGTCAAAGGAAAGATCAACAGGCAATGTCAAAATAAATTTTAAGGAGAATGTGAGTCCAACTAAGAAGTTCTTAAAGGACAATATATATAAAAATGTAATTATTCAACTGTAAGTAGAATTATGTTGAGTAAGCCCCTTAGCCAATGTCTACTACAAAATGGAATGAACTATTTTCTTAGCAATTCTTTAAACGTGGTTTTTAAATTGTTAACCCCGAAGTGACAAAACCTGAGACCATTTCCCCTCATTCACAGAGGAAATCAGACACACACAAGACATACTTTTCAGAAGTCAGTGATGACAGGTTGTCCACCTGGCCTCCAGCCAAGATGATATTCATATCACTGAAAGTGCTGACTACTTGCTGCAGATAATTACTGGCTCCCACCTTACAGCAATTATAACCAAAGACAAGGACCACACGAAGTTCAGGGTTATCTAAAAGACCTGCAGAGAAATGAAGAGCAAGAGTTAAAGACAGCCTTAAAACAAATTATTTTATACATGTTGCAAAATGAAATGTTACTGTTAATAACTTGCATTCCTCCTTAAGGGCAATTTAGTAGCTTAAGCTATGAAATTTCCCATTTTTTAAATCTTATTTTATATCCTCTTCTATCTCTGTATCACATTTTTCATTTCTTACAAACATTATGCAAACTCTTTATAATTTTTTTCTATTAAAAAAACCAAATGGCTATTTGTATTAATAAATAATACAATGAACACAAATAACGAAGCAGCTATGTACTGAGCAGCAATCCTTGGTGGACCAAGGTGCAAGCTGGCTCCCGGTAGGGAACAAAAGAGAACGCTGGTTTACACAGAGCTGCGCTAGCAGCAGTGAGAATTTACAGACGTTTTATTTTTTAAAGGAGAGAAAAGGCGCTAACCACCTATAGTGTGGTGAACAGTGCCCCCTGCCCACGCAAAAGGTATATCCACATCCAATCTCTGGAACCTATGCATGTGAGCTTATTTGGAAAAAGGATCTATTTTAAATTTAATTTTTTTTTTTTTTTTTTGGTAGAGATGGGTTCTCGCTATGTCAGTCAGTAAGGATCTTGAGATTAAATCATCTGGCTTATCCAGGTGGACTCTAAATCCAATGACAGTGTCCTCATAATAAAAGATATACAAAAGGAGAGACAAAGAAGAAAAGGCAGGGTGACCACAGAAGCAGAAACTGGAGCGGCAGGAAGAGAAAAAGACTCTCCCCTAGAGCCTCCCGAGGTAGCACTACCCCTACTGCCATCTCAGTTTCAGACTTCTGGCCTCCTGAACTGTGCAGAATAAACTTCTCATTCTGTGCCACCAAATGTGGGGTACTTCGTTACAGCAGCCTAGGAAACTACTACATCACTGAAATACAGGCTTTATTCACCTCCTCCAGGGAAGCAGGTGAGAGTAAAGGCGAATTAGTGTTTGAAAGTTCCTTCCAAAGCAGGAAAATGTTAAATTCTGTGACACAGGAACTAAAAGCTGCTACCACTAGGAGGCGGCACAGTGTAACAGAGACGGCCTACTCCCTCTGCCCACAGCTCCCAGGTTTCACTGGAGCCTCTGGGCAGCTTGTTTATAGACTATCAATTTGATTTTTTTTTTTTTTTTAACTTTTAAGTTCAGGGATACATGTGCAGGTTTGTTACATAGGCAAACGTGTGTCATGGGGGTTTGCTGTGCAGATTATTTCATCACCTCAGTAATAAGCCCATTCATTCTCCATCAGTTATTTTTCCTGATCCTCTCCTTCCTCCCACCCTCCACCCTCTGGTAGGCCCCAGTGTCTGTTGTGTCCCTCTTTGTGTCCATGTGTTATCATCATTTAGCTCCCACTTATAAATGAGAACGTGCAATATTTGGTTTTCTGTTTCTGTGTTAGTTTGCTAATGATAATGGCCTCCAGCTCCATCCATGTCCCTGCAAAGGACATGATCTCATTCTTTTTTATGGCTGCATAGTAGTCCATGGTGTATATGTACCACATTGTCTTTATCCAGTTTATCACTGATGGGCATTCAGGTTGATTCCATGTCTTTGCTATTGTGAATAGTGCTGCAATGAACATACATGTGCATGTGTCTTTATAATAGAATAATTTATATTCCTTTGAATATATACCCAGTAATAGGATTGCTGGGTCAAATGGTATTTCTGTCTTTAGGTCTTTGAGGAATCACCACACTGTCTTCCACAATGGCTGAACTAATTTACACTCCCACAGACAGTGTATAAGTGTTCCTTTTTTTCCACAAACTCACCAGCATCTGTTATTTTTTGACTTTTTAATAGCCATTCTGCCTAGTGTGGGATGGAATCTCATTGTGGTTTTGATTTGCATTTCTCTAATGATCAGTGATGTGGAGCTTTTTTTCATGATTGTTGGCCGTATATATGTCTGCTGCCAGCATTACCAAACAGAGGTGCTTTGGGACAGGAAAATGAATCCAATACCTAACACACTTGTGTTTCCATTTGATTTGACCACATGACTTCCACCTTGACAGACCTAAGGTGGTTACCAGAGAGGACAGTTACTTAAGGAAACAAAGGGTATGCAGATGTGTGAATGACCAATTACTAACACCAAATAATGACCTATTCTGGGAAACTGCCTCTGGTCCATTTCCAATTCTCTGTACAGTAAATTACTGACTTGGACAGTAAAAAGAATACTGCTTTCATGACATCATATACCCCAAACCATTGCTAAAGGGTCTTTTTTCCCCTATAGACTAGCCCACAAAATTTTGAGAGAATATGTTTTCTTCATTAGAACAAAGTTTCAGAGTTGGGAGAGGCCTATGAGATCAAGTCTAGAGTTTTATTTTACAAACAAGGACTACCAATGCCACAGAAGTGACTACTACCCCAGGACAATATAATGACAGACTCTACATTAAAACCCACATCTCCTGACACTCGGGGCTTTAGCTTTTAGAAACCTCATGGCTTCTAAATCTCAACCTTTCCTACTGTTTTCTAAGCTCTAGATGCTCTTTTACAATTGTCCACTGAACATCCTACCTGAATATTCTGAAGGCAACCACTCCCATTCATTTAACAAACACATACCCAATGTAAAGAAAATTAAAAAAAAAAAAAAAAAATCTCAGGACCTCCAAACTCCTTATGCCAAAGGGAAAGTTAAGCCTAGAGGCTGAGTCAAGCGAAGCACCACCCTCTCTCCAAATTAATATTGCTACTTCACAACCCTGTGTCAGAGAATCATACATTAGCCAGACCCAACCCCTCATACACCCCCCACCACCCCACCAGGAAAGGCAAAAGGTTTTAGTCATCTCCAGATGACTGCTCCCACAAATCATTCATAAGGAAAATCTTTGCTGGCCTCAAAACCTTTAAGATGTACATCCTCCCATAATACAAGGACATGTCAATTGTAACTTTAGGTCTGCAATCTGTTCAATTCCACACTGATAATGTCCATTACAAGCTTATCTTCCCAGATGCTGCACAAAAACAAGAGATCAGTAATGTGTCCACCTACTTGAGACGTCTGCATAACTGGTTCTTCCTTTCTTCAAAAGGTTCACCTTATGTAAAATGTAGATTTACTGAGCACTAACTAAAGTCTCACAGGAACGTGACCATTCACCTCACGCCTATCCTTCCCCATCCTTCCTTCTCTCCTTTAAAAACATGTATTGAAAACCTTTTCAGAGTACACAGCCACTCGTTTGTGACTAGTGTTTTTCCCGGATACACTCTCAACCTCTGGCTCAGTAAACCTCGAATGACTGAGATTCTTGCCTCAGTCACACATTCCAGTTAACACCATCTTCTCCAGTGGTGTTCTTTCAACATCATCTCTAGTGGGTTTGTTCTCGGCTAATGGAACACTTCCCCCTCCCAATACACAACCCTAGAAAGTAAAATCACTTTCCCCTACCCCAACTTAGAGAACAAACCCACCTTAACCAAGGCTGTCTGTCTGATAGAGCAGAAGGCTCTGTATTTAACCAACAGACTACCTGTGCTACTGGTAAATAAGAGAGGGAAGGTACAACTCCAACTCCTTGACACTCAAAATTCAAAGGCCTAAAATATGAGGGAAGAGTAGGGAGTAATGCCAATTTTTCCTGAAAGGTTCTGGGTTCCCCCCAATTCATAGGTAAAGGATCATCAAGGACCCAATGTTCTGGGCTACCTGCCATAGAATCTGACTTCAGATTTTATTCTAGAATTTTCCAAAAGTTGATACATTACTAGGAACTTACCACAACCATTAAACACAATTCCAGAAAAGTATTTATAAGGCACTTTAAATAGTGCTTATAAAATGTAACCTCAGGTAACAGAATAAATTGGCCTGCCATGTAGGATTGCCAACTATAATCAAGTTAGCTACTGCAGTTGTCCACCAAGAGATGTCTTTGGTTTTGGAATAGTATGAAACTGTTCTTACCAGCAATAATCTTTAAGGTAAATTTAGCAAAGAATTACCCCATCCTCTTAGGAATTTTTCATCCATCAAGCCCCCACCCTCCTCCTTGGCTAAAAATCCCCACCTGTGGTTGGCGCATTTGGAGTTGAGCCTGATCTCTCTCCCCTAATGCAAAACTCCATCACAGTGGTCTCCCGAACAAAGTCTGCCTCACTGTCTTGAATAGATGTCAGCACTGCTTTTTCTTTAACACTAGCTTCCTGTCACTTCTGCTTTCTCAAGGGCTGGGCAACTTCGAAGGCAGAACAAGTTCAATCCCTTGAGTTTCAGCACTGATTCTCTCTGCTTCACACCTGGTACTGCCTATGACCCCTCAAGACTCTTTATGACATCTTCAGTTAATTTTAAAACTTTGTCCTACTTCAAATTTTTTTGGAATCTAACAAGTCATTAAAGTCCATTTTTACCCTGCTTGGTGGCTGGCAGAATTCAAGAGGAATGGTTAAAGGATCAAAAAGCAGGGAGCAGAAAGAACCTGAACAATCTACAAGCTAGATCACCAGATCACCAATCTCACAACGAACACTAGTACAGATCACTGTTCTAAGTATGTTATAGAAATTAACTTATTTAGGCAGGGCATGGTGGCTCACGCTTGTAATCCCAACACTTTGGGAGGCCGAGGCAGGTGGATCACCTGAGGTTGGGAGTTCAAAAACAGCCTGACCAACATGGAGAAACCCCTTCTCTACTAAAAATACAAAAAAAATAGCCGGGCATGGTTGCCCATGCTTGTAATCCCAGCTAGTCAGGAGGCTGAGGCAGGAGAATCACTTGAACCCAGGAGGCAGAGGTTGCAGTGAATACAGATCGTGCCATTGCACTCCAGCCTGGGCAACAAGAGCGAAACTCCGTCTCAAAAACAAAAACAAAACAACAACAACAACAACAACAAAAGAAATTAAATTAACAACCTGTTACGTATTGTTTTACTCCTAAAAAGTCTGTGAGGATTCAATACTGTCAAAATTCACATTTA